AGCCAGTGGTATGTTAAATGGACTCAGCCCTCATCGCATGATTTCTATATACAAATATCTAGCACTTCAGACAGTTACACAAGAAAGACAGATGGATCATTTTTGCTTTGGATATATTACTAGACTAACAAGCCTGCCTCAGAGATTCACAAGAGAGTAGGTCTAGAGCTATGAGCTTTCTCAGGCAGCATGTAGTATTCAGGAAGAGTCCTCACCAGAAGCCAATCTTGCTGGCATTTTTGATTTTGCCAGTTCCCCAAAACTGTGAGGAACTAGATTTCTTTTGTCTAAGCTACCTGGCTGTGGCGTTTAATAGCTTAACCTGACAATACTTTTCCTAAAGAAGCCCACAGGTTTTGGTCCCTCCCTCCAAACACAAAAGTTTATTTCACCCACCTTGTCACATGTAGTAACTCCTGCCCTACCCACCAAAATGCTGAAGTCCATTCTGTAAAATATTTTCCTGACTTTCTACCTGAAAATCTCCTTGGTTTTTTTATTCTGCCTTTCCTTGAGGTCCAACTTTCTATTTCTTAAAGTGATAGCAACTTATCTGATGAATACATCTCTTCAAAGGAATTGAGAGCTGATAACAAACCTCCTGTTTCCAAGAATATTGGCTTTTTAGCTAGGAGTCAGAGCTATGACTTTCTGAGAGGAAGTCCCTAAATGGTGGCCATTTCAGATATTGTGACTACTTGTATCTGAGTAATAAGACATGTAGATGATCATCATGCTTCACCTAGCACACAGCCTTAGTTGTATTGATATTTCTACGTTAGAAAATTTGTGCCAAATGTTTCTTTGAGTCTTTATCATGTTCAAGAAAAATCTTAGGCTTATGTGAATTCAAGAAATATATTTATATCTGCAATACACATTTTTTTCATGTGTCTGTATGTACATTATAATACAAAATAATGGCATCATTTATGCACTTAACCAAAAGAGAATTTTTGCAGCATTTCAAGTTTTACCATCACTAAAGCTTTGTAACATAAATATTTCTACAAGATAAGCAATGAGCTTCATAAGAAAGTTCTCAGCAGGAACTAAATAATCATACATGGGAATGAATAAACCTAATTGGAACTGAAGAGAATTTAGTTCTGGCTCAGAGTAAGCCCTCAAATACACACTTAATACATACAGAGCAATCAGAAAGTGTGGGCAACTGAGGAGGGAGATCCATTTCAGGTTGTACAAAGAAGAGCAGGAGCAGAGCTACCATAGAAGAGACTGATCACAATTAGGGAACAGAAATTTGAAGTCAAACCATAGTTCCAGCAGGTGACTAAGTAAAAATCAGGTGTCAGGACAGATGACTATCTGAAATTTGAGCACCCAGAATAAAGGTTCAAAAGGAAGGCTGAAGTCAGAATCCCACCCAACCCACACATTGGTCATAGGAATGACAAAGCACCATTCTCAAATCACTCTTAACTACTGTGAGGGAGATGTTTCTGCGATGCTCCCATCTACCATCATGATGCACAGGAATGGCCTGGCTGTTACTCTCAAGAATATCCACAGCATTGAAAAGAGAGGCAAACACCACAGTTTTATGAAGCCATATTCCAAAATCATCACTTGGCTTCTAAATGTGATGAGGAAACATGGTTTTATTGGCAAATCTGAAAACATTGATGATCACAGAACTGATAAAATTGGCAGCTTCATAAGCAGCTTAGACATGTGTGGAGTGATTAGCCCCAGATGTGATGCATAACTCAAAACTCTAGAAAATAGCAGAATGACCAGTTCCCATCTCATCAGTCTGGTTTCATGGTACTGAGAACCACAGCTGGAATAATGACCCATGGAGAAGTAAAACAAATAGGGAAAATCCTGAGATTCTTTCTTTAGGGATGCAATACACATGTAACAAATACTATGCCTCAGTGGACTTTGGAGCTTTAGTGGGTCACTTTTCACTTTACAGCAAAGTAGCAAAAGTGTTTGCATTAGCCTACAGCCTTTGTGTTAATCTGGGCAATGCCATTTCCCTGAAATAAATAAAGCCTGGTCATAACTTATCACTGCATGGCTTTCCAGAGGAACATATGTCTGGCCCTTGATGGTTGAATCTGTGTTGGGGTCTGGTGGGGAAGTAGTGCTCTTTGTGGATGGAAATAGATTATAAATGTTAAACATGATAAACAAGAATTCAGATGTGTTGCTTGTTTTTATGGAAGAGCTGAGTAGTGAAAACTGGGAACAACTTAATTTACAGGATAGATAATTTGAATATATTCATTTACATGAGAGTCAGCTTTGTACATTGTCTCTCCTTTCATGTAGAATTCCTTCAGTGTCTGAGAAGTAAAGTTTTCCTTGTGGCCTGGAATTCAGCCACAGGAGACATGTGAACCACATGTGTTTTACTTAGTGGGCATGTGACTGGTGAACAGCAGGTGTCAGCCCTGAATTTCACCCCCACATGGCTTTGAGCTAGAGTATTCTCTTCTGAACCTTAGTCTTCTCTGTAGAGGGGAGATGGTAACAGGATACAGAGTATTTACATGCACTTTTTTTTTTTTTAAAGATTTATTTATTTGTGTGTATACAGAACTGGGGTACAGGCAAGAGGCTCAGGGGCGGTGAGAGGCTTCACCAGAGACAGAGTGGGGAGCAGAACAGGCAGATCGACTAAGTATACTGCTGAGGGGAGCAGCGGGTGGGTCAGGAGAGGTCTGCCACACCATGTGGACACCTCCGGGACAGGCGGGAATCGAACTCATGTGGAAGCGGCTTTAAATTCTCAGTGCTGTGCTTTAACCGCTGCGCCACCAGGGAGGGCCATGTTTTTTGATATATCCCATGAATTAACGTGGAGTTTGGCATTTGATAAGTGTTTAATAGTCCTCCGATGAATAAATGTTTGTGGAGAGTGTTATGTAGAGTGATTGGTTTTATATTTTACCTTCAAATGCAGTGAGCTGAATGCCTTCCTTTATCTATTTGAAAGCCACAAGGCTGTGAAATGAATGTCTCATCTGATTAGCTGTCTGGTTTTGTTTTGCTCTATGGTGAAGCCTCATAAAAAGAGAAAGGACTCTTTTTGCCCTTACCCCCCACCCCACCCCCTGTATTTTCCATTGCTGTCTATAGAGAACTTGAAAATTTGTCTTTGGTCTCCTAGGATCTTACAAAGAATCCAAGTGCTTAATAGATATGAAATATTTTCGAGAATAATTTAAATCTCTGTCAAATGATGTGTCTTGACTTTCTATCTCAAGTTGTAGCTGCCTTATATACTGTGAAAGCATTTTTCTAGTCAGTAAAATCTATGCCAAGAGCATTGTCTCATTTCATCTCTTACAGAACTTGCTTCCCTAGAGCCCAGGAGTTTTATCCAAAGGAGCCTCCAAGGGGGTGTGTTTTGAAACTCTTCAAAATATCTAACAGCTTCTTAGTCCATTTGACGCTTGTGAAGAATATCAAAAAACGTGACTGATTATGCTTGATCCTCTTTTGCTTATATAATTCATAAGAGCTATCCTATTAAGTCTGGCATAGTTCTGCATTATGGTTTGTTGGTGCTTATGTAATACTTTTAAATGGAAAAGTGCTTTCCAGACATTTATTATGGAAGCCTCTGTTATCAGTGACAAATAGTTCTAGGAGACTGTTCATCACACATATCTGTCAGCTTTATGGTTTCAGCTAAAGCACTAGAGACTTTGACAGTACCCTCTAAAAGTTGTATTTAGTAAATAATTTTTTTCGTTTTAGACAGTTAATGGTAGTTTTCAGAATGGGGATGCATTCTGGGTATGCAGGGAAATGATATGAAGGTAGTACTGGCTGATTTGATCAAATTTCTATACGATGATGGAGTATTTTAAGTTAAACATTTGCTAAAATATGGGATGTTACAGAATTATTTAAATGACTATTTTCTAAGCAGCCCCCTATGGCCCTTTAGCATAGCATAGTATTTTTAAAATTTTTTTGTTGTTGTTGAAGTAATGTTTGTATACAACACTGCTTATAATTAAGAGGTATAAGTTCACACCCCTTTAAATGTATGTTGCCACACTTATCAACAAGTCACCATAGTCTCTCATCATAGTTCATTGAGCCCTCTCCCATTCTGCTCCCTCCTTCCCCTCATATTCCTATAATTTTAATTCTACAGTCAGGTTTCTAAGATTTGTTTTGGTTTTGTCTATTCCTTTTTTGTTTCTCCATAGCACTCTGGAGTCACATAAACCTGGTTTGACCTCCATTACAATTACTAGATGACTAAGTGAGGTGGAAAACCTCAAATTATTGACATTGACTTTTCATATTGCCCCTGTACAATCAATCTGCTTAAGGTCCTAAGCCATTTCCTCAAGTTTATAAGAGGGATTATGTTACCTTCCTTAAATAGTGACCCTGAACAGTATTAAATCAGATAAAGCTCAGATAAAAATTCCTGAATGGTTCTTTTTCTTCCTTCTCCTTTTCTTTTCTTATTGTCATCTCATAAAAAAATAGCAATGACAAGCAGGGTTAAGTGGATGACCACCTGAAAATAATTCCCATACTCACTAATGTTGACCTCTTCAAAATTTTCTTCATTTAAATTATGCTACATAAATAAATACTGCCAAGAAAAACAATTTTATTAGAGGTCAGTATGTGAAACAATCTTTAATGAAATGAAAATAGCAATGTATTTTTTAAAAAATAAAAAAGGAAACAATTTTAATTTAAAGAAAAAACAACAACAAAGTGTTGGGGGGGTGGGGAGAATAACTGGAGCATATTGGCTCCTGAAAAGGTGTTCTAGGTCTGTTGACCACATTTATTGGAAGGGCTGGGGAAAATAAAAATGCCATTTAGCTTAAGAATTCGTGAGTTATCTGCAAATCAACTCATTTCAGGAGTGGAAGAATGTTGGTCATTTCTTAATATCAAAATTTACACAGGCTTCTCTTGAGTATCTTCTACATTTAAAGAGCAATCACACAAAGTTTCCTATTTTTTCCACATGGGATAAATTCTTTGTTTTAGTCAACTCTCAATGGAGGGACAACTAGAGCAACACCATCTCCCCAGACAAAGAGCATCGGGATATTCCGTTTTGTTGATTTATAGATTTCTTCATAGGTTTCCTCATCAATTTCTATAGCAGTTACAGTTTCTTCCACATCTCCCAATATCATATTTAAATGTTGATCATAAGCATGTAACCTGCCTCGAAGCTCTCTGTCATTTCTCATTTTCACATTAATTCGCTCATCTGAGCTAAGCCTAATGAGATCCAGGGGCTCTTCTACAGTGTTTGTTGTTTGTTGCTGGTCCACGTCATCCGCCATGTTTCAAACCCTGCGCCCTTCAAAATAGCAATGTATTTTAAGAAATTCAATGGGATGGCTAACAGATACCTCAAATAATTCTCATCACATATCAGATAAAAGTAAATCAGAAATCACACGAGCTAAATCTCCTACCGATAAGAATGGTCCACATCAAAAGCTTTAGAAATAGCAAATGTTGGTGAGGCTGTGAAGAAAAAAGGAGCCATGGTATACTTTCTGGGAGTTAGCAGACTGGCTTCGCCCTTATGGAAAACAGTGTGGATGTTTCTCATACTATTAAAAATCAATCTACAGGAACTCAACTCCTAGGTATCTATGCAAATATACTAATTTGAAGGGATATATACACTCCTGTGTTCATTATATCACTATGCACAATAGCCAATTTATGTAAACAACCTAAGGACAATGTAGCTCAATAAACCAAACAACAAAAAAAGTAAAAGAAAAATACTCTTTGCAAAACCTAGTTTAAAAAGAGTTCAAAGTACATAGCAAGATAAGTCAGTAATTAATTAAACTTAGCTAAAGAATTTATCATGGTAAATGGCTTATTGACAGGCAATTAGATGAAAAGTGTACCATTTGAGTGGCATTAGTAATGGCATGAGTTGTGATAATGGATGACCCCTTGGATTACATCATTATGGTTAATTTCAGTGGTGACTGTGAAGACATTTTTTTTTCTTGGAATTTTGTGGAATAATTGAGGCCAGCTATAATACATGTAAAGATGAAGTTTATCATTGCAATAGAACTTTAAGCTGATTTGGCTACCATATTTGCTTCTTAATGCCTCATCAGGATGAATTTGTCTGATCTTATCTGTGTTTGCATCCTCTCTTCCTTAATCTCTTTATGAACATCCCATACAGACTTTGTGTTCAACTAAAAGAAATATGCTTCCAAGCAAGAAAAAGACTGTTATTTGATCTAGTGTATGAAAATCAGCGCTCAATATGAAAACAAACAGACCAACAAGGGGATACTGTACCATAGCAGGAAGCAGGAACTGAATGAATATTTTAAATCTGTTAATGGAATGAATTGAAATGAATTCTGAAAACTCCTTGGGTTAATGTGATTAGAAAGGGTGGAGTTGTGGAGAAATTTACAGGATTTAAAAGGGGGAGATAGAGACTTGTGAGGAATCTGGAATAGAGTAGTTAAGACTGGAGGTTTAGTAACTGTAATTCTTGTATAATAAGTATTTGCAAATTATGTGTAATAAGGAGTTGTGAATTTGTGACATATAAGGTATGAGAAACATCATGTTTCTCTCTGTTAAAGTTTTTCAATCCCTGTTCCATGGTTGAAAAGAGGTTCCCTTTCAGATTTTTTTTTTATTATTCCTTTCTTCTCTTTTAGGTTGTGTCAGACACAGGAGATTTTGTAGGACAGGACAAATGGAGGAGAAGCCAGAGCTTCTTGTGGTCTTCCTTAAGAGGCTCATGCTCCAGTTTATACAGTCCATTCAAAGGCAGACTCTGCTGGGTCATCTACTTACATCATGCCAAGCTCTGTCTTTGAAGTTGAGATGCTCACTATTAGCATCCTATGCATTCTTGTATCTGTCCCCATGTTAAATGTCCTGCCTCATAGAGTGTTCATATGGCTACTCTCTTTTAGGCTTCTTTACTCCATCCTTTGTCTATCTACTATCTCACTTGATTTGGTTTCCATACTTGATGTACACAAATGTCAATAAAGCTTCTTAGCTTTATTGTCCATATGAAACAGAGATGTGCTCATATAAAAGGAAGATCACCATTAGTTCTACTAATGAGTCCAGAGAAACAATAGCAACATCAACTACATAGGTAGAATAGTACAGCTTTATGGGAAAAAATGTAGAGTTATCTCAAAATCTTAAAAACAGATCTATGGATGTATATGTACAAATATATATGACTAAAGCATCAATTTGTTACCGGTTCATCCCATCATGTTAGTAGTATGTCTTTCTTGTTACTGTTGTACAGGAATTATGTATACATTCAGTTGCTTCTTTAGTATTGAGAAAATAGTAGATACTCAGTAAATATATATTTAAAAAACAAATAACACCGAATGGAATCAGATCATATAATAGAGAATCTTTGCACAAAGTGTTATAGAGAATTCACGTTTAGTGACTTGCAGAAGTACAGAAATTAAAATAATAAAGAAAAAACTAAATTAGCCAGTCAGAACTCCTCTAAGAACCCAAAGAACTGCAATAACAGAAGGGAGACCTAACTTGCAGGCACAAGGAAGGCATGAACAGCAGGATTGAGGAGCAGGTAAAGTTAAAAGGCATGCATACTCATTCAAATATTTGTAAAGCTAACTAGCGGACCTATGTGTCTATTTAGCACATTTTATTTGAAAAGATGACTTCTGTAGTTATTATTATAGAAAGTGGAATATACTCTTACAGCTGATAGAGGACGAGATCAGAAGTTAGTTCCTGAGTCATTTTATGTTAATGATGTCTTAACAGTGACTATCATCTCAGAAAATAACCCAGAGAACTTGTATTTATCCTAAAAGAATTGCATGTGCTTTTTGCTACATTTACATGTTCTACTTGAGATACTTGGTGAACTAGCAAAAAGGAAGTGTGAATTATACTCTTATGTTCTCTGAGTACTATATACAAAAGCCAAGTTATGGACAGAACCTAAGTGCCTAATGGCAAAAGAGCAGAAAAATAGAATGGTGTATTTACACAATGGGGTATACTTGGCTATAAAAGTAATGGAGAACTTTGCCATTTTGACATAATGAATAAAGTTGGAGGACATCATGCTAAGTGAAATAAGGCAGAAAGAGAGAGACAAAAACTGGAGGATTTCACTCATCTGTAGAACATAGAGAAACAAAGGAAAGGAACAACTAGAACCAAAACAAAAAAAATTGTTGGAATTTAATTAAACAACTGAGACTCTCCATGGGGTAGGGATCAAAGGGTGGAGGAGGACTATGGTGGAGGGTTATTGGTGCTTTGGAGGTAGGTGTAATGTGGTAACAAACATTTGTAGGTATGTTAATCTGTACCCCCTAAAACATATACATATTGTAACTGATATCTCAATAAAATTGTAAAAAGAGCACATTAAAAATTACATTCATTCACATTTAGAAAATATTTTTTGCATAGTTGATATATTCAAAGACTATAAAAACTTGTAAAATATTATTACTGCAATATAATTTTGATAATGGTGGTTATAATGTCTACCTTAAGAAGGGGAGGCTCATATAAACGTAGAAGAAGCTATAAACCAAGGGTCTGTGATAGGGCTAGAAGGGTGGATACAAAATAAGACATAATGAAGATGGAGAAATTATCTGACATGGTGACCTATCTATGTATCTAACAGTGACCATGGAAAGGCGATGATGTAGATATTCAAAGATTTTGATAGGTGGAAATAACAGGGGGGAGAAGGCAGAAAGATATTTCAAGTAGAAGTATGGAATGGCCTTGTCTCTAGAACAGTTTTGTCTTCTGGTAATTAATTGACTCAGAATATTGATAGTGGTGTGTGGTTGTCCTGTTGAGATTATTATGTTATCTATTTATATACCACGAATTTCAAAGCTTGGTTGGCATAATTTTCCTTCTGTTATGAAGACCTAGAAGTGGTTTGTGGTCTTTTGGAAAGGCAAGATTTCCCAGAAAAAAAAAGTGGTGAGATACTTAGATTTGGAAAATAGTAGGCAGACATTTTTCCATGGTTTTGAGTGATTCCTTTCAGTTAACTGACTGATCTGGGGAGATGGCTGATATTCTATCCTATGTTTTGGACTCTTCTATTTTAACCTCATCCTGCAGAAGGTCATGGCTTAGGATTTATTAGTTTTTTTAAGTCAAAGAAAACAGGATCTTGTATTACATATGTATTCTCTTTATTTATTTAATTTTTTAACCCAAAAGATCTGGGGCAGGGTAAAATTGCTTTTTGAAGTATAGTCTGCTAAAAATGGAAAAATCCAAATATTTGAACAAATAGTTAAAGAATCTTTATGTATTTAAAGAACATAACAAAACAATGAATAAAAATGGACAACTATAACAAATGTGATAAAGTAGTGTTATTAATATATATACTATTTGTTTAAAAATTGATGATAGAAGTTCTGAGATCCCAACTGTGGATGCTTAAGGGGTATGAAGAGAAAAATGTCCTTAAAGAAGGAAACATAGGCCCTCCCTGGTGGCGCAGCGGGTTAAAGCACAGCACTGAGAATCTAAAGCCGCTTTCACATGAGTTCGATTCCCGCCTGCCCTGGAGGTGACCACATGGTGTGACAGACCTCTCCTAACCCGCCCGCTGCTCCCCTCAGCAGTGTACTTCGTTGATCTGCCTGTTCTGTTCCCCACTCTGTCTCTGGTAAAGCCTCTCACCGCCCCTGGGCCTCTGGCCTGTACCCCAGTTCTGTATGCACAAATAAATAAATCTTTAAAAAAAAAAAAAAGGAAACATAATGATTAAGAAAGAGGTTTTATTTTTACCAATTTGATATATTCAAGGACTATAAGAGCTACATAAGATGTCATTACTGCAATCTAGTATTGATGAAGGTGCTTGTAATGTGTACTATTTTATTAGTAAAGGCTAAAAAATTTCTCTGTTATCAAGGAGTGAAAGAGACATTTGTCTATACTTTGAAAAACAAATTGGTAACATATACTATGTTTTTGACCCTTCCCTTGTTCATGACTTAAACCTGGTTTCATAGTTCCCCTTTCCTGAAAATGTAACCTACAGGAATAATATTCCAAGAATAAAAATGGAGAAATATAAATACTTGACTTGCTTCTGGAAGTCAAGCATATGTTGCACACTAAAAAACTGGATTATTACTAGTCATTAAGTGTGATACTTAAAAAGAACTTCTGTTTATATAAGCCTACAAATGGGCCAGAGCTATAACAAGATATATGTACCACATATATAAATGTATATAGTTAAAATATTATTTGTCTCTCCCTGTGTCTTAATTTGAAGGTA